GGGAGAGGGAGGTCTGGGCCTCCCTTCTGAAGCTGCTGCCCCCGCGACCCGACCCCGGATAGGCGGAAGAAAATGGATGGATGGATGGACAAAAGATAATAAGATATATATTTTTTTAATTTAGTAGGTCAAGAATATATAGTTAAGCATACAAATGTGGTTACTGTCATTGTGCATTTTAGACAATATTTCTAAATTACACAAAGTTTTATTGATGGATTTGCTATTATTTGTGGATATTTAAATACTACTAAGCACACTTGATATGAGAATATCAGCAAAGAAGAGACATTATTTTGATGAACTAAGTAGAAGTTTTATATTGAAGGTCAAGTTCCAGGTAAACATCTGAAGGTGTTAATGTGTGTGACACTGAACATTAATCTTTCTCTATACTATTGGTTAGTTAACTTTTGTAAATACCGCTGCTGACAAATTAGCCCAACTTCAACAAGTAGAAGCTATGGCAATAAGCAAAAATAATAATAAAAAAAAACGTAGAAAAACAATCGCAGACTCTGTTTAAAACTCCTCTTGTTCACTTTTGACATTCGTCATGGCATCCCCATGTGATTTCGTGATGTACTGTAGTTGCAAGGGGTCAATAGACTCCTCTTATTTTTGTCTGTAGAATTTGGGCTTATATTGAAGTAAAAGCATGACAGAGTGGTAKAAAAAATGCATATTTGATGACTCTTTGATCTTCATTGTAGCACCTACATTCATTTAATTGAAAACCTTTGTTGATGTAATATATCCATTAAATTGTCTAGTGTTTCAGAAAGTAAAGAGACTGTTGTGCTTTGGTTGAGGTCTGCATTCTTTTAGTTGTCCTCATTTCTCATTTGGTGTGTGTAAAGGATGAGCAGGAAAATGAGCAGCTGCAGCTGGAAACCATGGCGATCTTTGTCACTAGGAGAGAGGATGCTTTCCATACACCCAAAGACATCGAGATAATCATGGATRGTACTCAGGTTCTGAATGGAGTGTCTTCTGTTGTAACAGTTGTTGCCATGTTCTTTGGACTCACATACACACTCAACCTCAAATATTCCAAAAAACCACTGCACACATTGGAGTTCATAGGCTGAGTACCCAGCTTTACGGCTGTTGAATTTGACTTACTCCCTGGATTTTATTTTCTATTGGTTCTTCTACAACCAAGGCATTTATTTACCTTGTATGATGTTTGTGTTCAAACATTATCATTGCACAACAGCCTAAGTTTAGAGACTGCCATTGTGACTGGGCTGAAAAAATGGAGAGTGGTTGGATTTGTACTGCATTGCTTGATTTTTAGACCAAGGAAGGAACTGGACCCATTTGTTTCAAATCCTAAAAGGCTGCCACAGAACCTACTAAAACTGGTGGGCAATTTGTATTCAAACTTGAATGCTTGGCTTTTAATTTCTATTAAAATAGTTCTCACTGTGTTACTTTCAGTAACATATTTTACCTTGACTACTTTCAAATGGGAACATTTACAGATTTTGTTCCAGGAAGAAATATCTAAAGTTGTTTTTTTGTTTTGTGTGTGTGTGTGTGTGTGTGTGTGTGTGTGTGTGTGTGTGTGTGTGTGTGTGTGTGTGTGTGTGTGTGTGTGTGTGTGTGTGTGTG